CCACGAGGAGTTGTGCGATGTCGCGAGTGTGAACGAAGCCAAGGAACGAGACGAACGCATAAAAAGATAGATCAATGAACTATAACGTACGATCAGTCATTTAGAACGAGCGGTAAAGTTAGTAAAGCCATGATGCTGAAAATGCAACGTGTTCATCGAGGTACAAACGTTCGTAGGGGCCGAAGAACTCGGGGGGGGGGGGGGGATTACGAGGAAATCACGAGCAGCAATTTGCGCAACCACATTTCAAATAAGAACAAAACCTTACCAATAATTTTCAATAAATCTGCTTACAACAGAATAACACCTGTTGTAACGAAAGATCAATATGTCTTTATCTTACTTTCTCGTTAATATTAATCAAAATAGTTACCGCGGTATTTACCCAAGGGGAAATTAAAAGTCAAGATGGCGTCAATTTGATGTCATATTGACTAAATTTATGTCACATGTTGGTTGGACGTCATTTTATTTCTCCTTGGGTATAAACTGAATCTAGTGCTAAACATTTTCCAAGCAGCACACTAAAGAAAGTTACGAATCATCGGAAACAATGATGGCGACTAATTGAATAAGCGCGAAAAAAAAATCGGCCGTCACTTCGGCCGTTAATACTGATTAATATTTAGCAGCGTCGTGTCCCCGTTTCCGAGGGAGAGAAATTATTTATAACGATTGAAGAGGTAAACGCGGACGCGTCCATTGTGGGGCTCACTTCCATTCCGGAATTAACGTTGCGTCAAGCGACACAATGTGACACGGTACAGTGTTCGAACGTATAGAGGGAAGAGGGTCACGAAGACGATTAAGAGGCGCCAGGTCATGGCACGTGAAGGCGATGTCACGCGCGTCTTTCTCGCTCGTGCGTCTCTTCATTACGATGCAGCTCGCGCCGCCGCTGCTTTGCCTCTTCGCCGGTCCTGCGGCGACACAGTTTCGCGGTCGCGGTACTCCGTCGGGGCAACACCAGGCCGTCACGTGCACCGGTGAACGTATCCGCGAGGACAGCGCGCTCGATGGAGGGCAACGGGGTGTTCCGATAACACCTATACCACGCGAATCGATTTTCCATGCGAGAGGCGTGACGCCGATTACGCGAACAACGGGAATGGAAAAGCGACCGTTTCAGCAACTTTGCCGCGAAATTGTCCGCTCGTTCCCCAGGATACTCAAAAAGTGCACTCGGTAACATTGTTCCAATTACGTAAGCGAGATAATCTTGTAAGCCGAAACGTAATTCAGTAGTTCCAGCGTGGAAATATCAAAAGCAGATTTCTTCGGATCACTGAACACCTTTTAACACTTTTTTTTAATACGAGAGCGCGAAGCAATCGACGAAAAGCTAATGTAATTTGAAGAATCAACCACAGTTCTCGCCACGCGATCACACACGGACATGTGCACGCGGCATCCAAGTTTATCGCAGGATCGCTAAAAGCATTCTCACGTTCAATTATGTCGTCAGGTGACATTATTTGCAAAAATGCTATTTGGACGTGCCGGCCTGTCTGGGGAAATAATTATGTCCCGTATCTTAATGACTTTGACATTGTATCCAGTAATTCTTGCCTTTATCTTCGTGAAGTGCTGAAACCGGAATACGTTGTATATTCGTAAGATTTGTACAAGGAAATGCGCAAAGTGGAGTTTAAGGTCCGTTTACACATATTCGTGACGTATCAGTACCGTGTCAGTGATGTTCGTGATATATCAGTGACGGTTGATTACATCTATCCGTACACTAAGAAAAATTTCCATCGGATAAACCAATTAAATAGCGTTTCCGATGGTTAATTTTTCCGATTACGTGTTCCGATTAAATTATGGATACATCCGATGAAATTTATCTGATGAAATGCAGTTACCGATGAAATTTGATTGGAAAACCGATCATATTTTTCATCGGATATACAATTTAATTGGATATATCCGTTTGTTATTATGTAATTGGATTATCCGATTATATTTAATCGGTCATTTTTTCAGTGTACAGTTTGGATTCAGTGTGGTAAAATTTCAACTAACTCTTATAAAATTCTTCGAAATACCTTGTTGTTCCGCGATTATATGATTTTCAGGATAAATTTTAAGGGAAAATTCTCTCTGTGTAGAAGCGTCATTAAACCATTTAATGCACTGAGAAAAATGTCCGATTAAATATAATCGGATAATCCAATTGCATAATAACAAACGGATATATCCAATTAAATTGTATATCCGATGAAAAATATGATCGGCTTTTCAATCAAATTTCATCGGTAACTGCATTTCATCGGATAAATTTCATCGGATGTATCCATAATTTAATCGGAAAACGTAATCGGAAAAATTAACCGTCGAAAATGCTACTTAATAGGTTTATCCGATGAAAATTTTTCTCAGCGTGGGCATTAATCGGCGAAAGCATAAATCCTTTGCAAATCATCGAGTATTATCCTTCCTTGTTAACATAGTTGTGATTGCACGCATGCCTCGGGTCATTAAACTCGTAGGCTAAAATATTCTGCAACGCGGATATTGCTATCAACTCAATTGCGATACAGATACGATCTTATATGTACGTTAATTTCGCGTGTAGTCGCCTCGTCGATCAATCCATCGCGATCCGACGATGAGGCTTGATTGCTTGGTTAGTGGCGCGACAAATATGGAATACGGACCGCAATCACCCGCCGAACCCCGGGGGTAAATACCGCAAAATCAAAGGATAATCATACACTACCCCTCCTCCGCGACCCTCCGCTACGCCGCTGATACTTTAGCGCGCAGTTATTTAGAAGCACGAGTGTAATAAAACACGAGAATAACGAACAAAAAATTATCCGCGACCTTTCCTTTTCATCCAACGGATAAGCGTAGCGCGCCAATCTTCCTCGTTTTCTGCGAGAGAAATATCTAATTTTGTCTTGAAACAAATAGCGCGTACGAATATCACGTTTTCTCTTTCCTTACGTCATTAGATCGTGTATCAAGTCCCACGTTAAATTTATAAATTTGTTCGTACCGCCAGGGTCAAGGCCGCGCATCTCTCAGATACGGACGATACGCGGCATTGACTCCGATATTATGCAATGGAGAATGCTTCGGCGTGTGTCGCTGCATCTCGATGAGGTCAATACACTCATCGTTGCATTACGCGCGCTATGAGTCCCATTATGCGCTCTCTATCATCCTATAAGTACCTACGCTCGATGTATTATACTTACGCGCGCGCGCGGCCACGTCGCGCATTGTTCGCGAGACAAAAACGGAGGTGGGACAAAAATCAATAACTGGTATCGTACGTCGATTATTTCTCGCGTAAATGCAGCCGATAACTGCACTTTCTAATTGCCCATATCGACGACTTTCTCCCCAGATAAAATTCATTTTTCTCCGTTTACACATCGATATTTAGAGGAAAGACCTCTATTATGAGATAGGTTTCTAATGTGAGATAGCAGGTTTTTCAAGACCCAAATTCAATAACAAATCTTTTCTCGCAACGATCTTACAATGAATTTCCCGCTGAACAGATTTCCCTCCAAGGACAATAAATTCGTGGTGGAATCACCTGATGACGCCTATTAATTTAACAGGAACTCCGCTATCCCATATTAGGATCCTATTTCACAATAGGAGACTTTCCTCTACACGTTCTAAGTTAAGAAAGAGCCGATTAGCTAAGATTGTGATTGTAAAGTGGAATCGCGCGATAAGAAAAAAATCAACCATAAATTATGAATTATGGCTCTTGATGGTCAAGGCAAATCGATTCTAATTAATTGCCGTCGTCGGCGAAACTTGTACATTGCGCAACTTTTACGAGGCCACGAAGAAAACAGGAAAATCTAACGTTATCGAATCCGTGGAGATTAAGAGATGCCTACGTAACGCAACAGTGTAATACTATCGTTACGGAAACCGTCTTATCTCATTGTCGAAATGTTGCGAAAATCTTCACGGTAACTCGACGACGCAAGCGTTGCACTACATGGTATTTTCGTACACCCTCGATTTTAATCTTGTTTGTATTTCTCGGCGCGCGTTCTCGGACAAGGTCTCGCCGGCTGATTATGCGAGGAACTTAATGCGCCGCGATCTCGCGGGATGATCGTAAAAATAAAATGCAGAAATAACGCGCGGGACGAAGATATAAAAATCCGACTGCGGTTTGCCTTTCGCTCGCCGCGCGAATTGTCCGCCGTGAAAGACGGCAATTCCCTCGGCGGGTAGGGAAAGCAATCCGTAAATTCCGACGTGCTTTAGATGCAAGTGGCATTTTGCTGCGCGTCCGACAGCATTGCACGTATGTACATACGCGCGATATAAAAACACGGGGAGTCGAGTTTTACGCGCGAAATCAAAATCTAAAAAAAACCCAAGAGTACAGTACCTGTAACCTTTAAATCGAGACAATTGCTATTATCAACTTGAAATAACTGATCCCTTTGTAATACCCTTATTCACATTGTGCAGTTTCTATGGCACAGGCACATATTTCTTTGTAATATGCATAAAGATGATAGCACGGGACGCGGTATTCGATAGGGTAATACATTATTTATATACATAGACTGTACGTAGGTGACCAGCATTGTTTCACGCGCGATTAAACTCGGAAACGCGTCGCGGAATTAGCATAATTATTGTGAGGATTACGGCGAGAGGATTTTGCAGCTTGTATTACAAAGCATAGATACTATTTAAAGCAAGCGATAGTCTCTCGTACGCGACAGCAGACACGTGCAATAACGCTCGAATAACCGCATAGTTCTTAACTTCTATTGAAGTTATAGAATACATAAGCGGATAAGAGAAACATATGAACAGATTCCCTTCCTTCCAGCCTTATGCGCAACAATGCGAAAAAGTCATGGCATTTACGCGGCAATTTAAACGGTATTCCACGCGAAATCGCCTTGTTATTGATAGTTTTTAAACGGCATTAATCACGTTTTTTTTATAGATAATATAAATTTTAGTTGTGTCGTTTCCTTCACTTTATGATTTTCGTGCAGAAACCCGACATGGTGGAAGAGGCGGTCCGGTTTGGAACGCGGGTTAACGGTGATAGCGGTTTCCGGGTTCCTCTTGTGCATCGCTTTGGCGGTCGCCCTCGGAATTTTGGCGGCCAACACGACATGCAACACCACGTCCAGGACCGGTAAGAGCACTCACTTTTACAGCGACCTACAGTGCAACACGAGCCGTTCACCATGCATGCTGCAAATGCAGTATTGTTTGAGAAGCACAGAAGCGAGACCAGCACTTCCCTCTTTAGAAATTCACGTTCAAGTCGAAAGAAATCCACACGCACGTGTAGCTTTGAATGGACCGCTTGGATCGTGTTTATCTCGAAATTAAATCGTCAAAAATACTGGATGTTAATTTTGTTACACGCTTTTATCTGGCAACGATACACAGCAAAATGTACAGGATGATTCACCAGGGAGAAGCAGAAACGAGATACTGAAATATTTCTCTTAAGTTTGCAAGTGGAGAAGAGAAACTTTTATAGGACGCAATCTACATGATTCTAAATGTCTCTAGCATTCTAACATTTAATATAAATTAACTAATGCAATTTTGTTCGGTTTTTCTCGTGATATCCATTTATCTTGCATCAGAATAAGCCTGCGATCTTAAACGAAGATCTAAACATATAATATGTTTCGCATTTATGTTGTCGTTACTCGTGAAAGTATTTATGTCCTTTAACTGTGTAAACTTATGACATTTCTGCACATGCAGGATCGGATTTATTTGAATAAAGCCGCTTCCCTTGCTCTTAAGGTACGAACGATTTTCGCAACTGCGTAAAACATGAAAAATTAATACAAAATTAATCATTTTTTTCTTCCCAATGATATCCTTGCAATTTTTCGAACAGACAAGAATCTCGTTTTACCTGTTGCAATCTAAATCCGTAAGTCCGATCCTGCACACGTAATAGCAAAGTATCATGCACCGACATCCCAAGATGTACGTCCGTCTCGTGTTGCGACAAAGACATTACTTAACATCATCCAATTGCATTAATACTTGAAGCGAAATTGCTAGTGACGAGCAAATCATAATTCCCTGCGAGACACACACATGGCAATGGCAGACTCCTGTAATAGCTTACGCGTACGCAATTTGCAACAACAAAAAATCTGACTTTAATTCCTCAAACAATTGTGTGCAAATTCTGATGCGATAAACACGAAAAGTTTACGTTAAAAAATTTCGTAAGAAGTGACACATTTCTGATGCTTATAAAAATGTACACATAATTTCTGAAAACAGATAGAATTTTCACTGTCCGTTACGTGTCTCGTGCGAAGCGAATTATTCATTTGCAAATTAAATGCTGTTTGAAGTAGAATACGTGAAATGTATAATAACAGTTGTGCCAATAAGAAAGCTAAATTAATTTTTCCCCGGGAAGATGTTAATGGAGATTTTAACGTAGGTACTTAAATTATACGCCTTTAATTACCGTTACAAGTATCGCCACGATTGTTTTATCGATACTTAACGAATCCACATGCATCGCGTTTCTTTGATATCCCGAGAGGACGATCCACGCTTTTTAATGCAACAAGCGATGAATGCGTTTACGATCGAAGCCGTTCGGTAACGGTACGTACTCGCGTCGTAAAAAATTTTAACTGTGCGAAAGTAAGACGCGTAATTGCAGCGCGGTCGTCGTAAACTTTATTTCTACGTTGGCGCCTCGTGCCCCGAGTGCTCCACCCGCTCATTAAACGGGAGAAAGAAAATTACGTTACGAAAATTCTTCCGCATTGGGTTGCAAAAGGCTCTACCATTTGATCAGCAACGTATATTTAATATAACGAGCGTCTCAAACAAATTCGCGGGTAAGCGGTGGGCATCCTAAACAAAAGTCACGGCGAAATTCATGACGTGCACTTCGAAGTGACGTCAACGAAAGGGTGATTCTGGCGCCTTTTGATATTTCTACGGTGCGAACGTTATTTTCATAATTACTCACTCGCCGTGCGTGTGTTTGCATTAATGTAACAGGCCGTTAAAGCGCGTAATCGCGCCAGTTTACGACGCGCACACCCCCCATGATCTAATATTTTCATTGCGCGTCGATCTGGCATTGGGCCCGCGAAAGCGTCATTACTGACGCATTCGAGGTATTTTCGGAGCGTATTAAAAAAAAAATCGACGGGGGTACGGAACTTAGTCAGCGCTCGGTGGTTTTTGACGTTGCGTTTGGTAGATGTTGCTTGCCCTATACGCGTTAGCACGTGTAGCGAATACACGCGCGGACCGACGCGAGAGATAATAATAGGTGAATCAGCACGCGACGTTTACGCAAATTGAATTGAGCGAGAGGATCGCAATTATAAATCTTGCTCTATTCTATGAGTATGTTTTAATAGAAAAATTTACTTTTTTATAAATCCTCACGCGCCTTTTATAATAGAGATACTTTTTCAAAAGCGAGGGAGAAATTGATTTCTTGATATACAAAGTAATTCTTGCATCTGACTTATTGTTAGAAAGCCCGTTTTTCTAAATAAAATGCGTCTTCTAGAATTGATTGACACGTATAAACAATTAATCAAATTTCGCTGATACAAGAGAAATATCTTATTTTTAAAATACTTTTCCAATATTTATAATAGTTTCCAAAAATCCGGAAGAAAGATTGTCCTACATTTTTGATAAAGTGGATTAATGATTTAATCACACACGAAAATATACGTAAACAGCACAATATGCAATGCATGCTAGCAATTTGCGACAGAAATGATTTTATTGTATGTGCAATTGAAGTTTTATCGCAGCTTGTGTGTCCCCATGCTTCACGTCCATTAATTTGTCGCTGTTATGCATTTTTTTTTCGCACCTGCAATCGCACCTACATCCGCACGAGAACAGATACTGCTAACGTAGAGATGCTACCGTCCACAGCCGAGGCGTTAAGCGGTTCGGAAACATCGAAGAACGCGATACCAAAAGGAGCGAAATGCAATGATGTATGTTTAACATCTGGATGCGTTCACACAGGTTAGTAAAATATACGGCGAAACTTTGCAATTTTCTATCATCTAAATATAATTCTTTTAGCGAGTTTGAATATCGTAACCGATACCAATATATTTATGTTCAGAGATACTTTTTCATTCGATAATTCATATTGTTCTTCACCAAAATGTAAAAAACCTTAAATATTCGATATCTTAGTAAGAATTTACTTCGTATGGAAACACTGGATTGTACTAATCCGCTAATGTGCACATCGCAGCCTCTAAAATACTGAAAAACTTGAATCCTGATGTGGAGCCCTGTGACGACTTTTACAAATTCGCCTGCGGCAGCTTCATCGAGTCTACGATTATTCCAGACGATAAAACTAGCGTGAATACGTTCTCTATTATCGTTGACGATCTCGAAGAACAGCTACGGTTAAGTATCGAAGAGGAGAGTCTTCCGAATGAGCCGAAACCATTTAGACTCGTCAAAAACCTGTACAAAGCCTGCATGAACAAAAGTAAGCAGCCGTGACATGGAATTCAATATAAATCACCAAACTCGAAAATAGCAACAGTCTCGTTCAATGGATCCAATAAAATCGTAGCAAAATTTATATAACTGTAAATTATACAGTGATAATTTAATGAAATCGTGCAAAGAGCTGACCGATCGTGCTAGAATTCTTTCGAAAAATAATTTAATTGAGATACTATTTTTACACAAAATTAATGCAATGCAGTTGTTTTTGCAAATTCGACTTATTTTTAAAAACCACACGTAACACCGTTGAAGAAAAGATGATGAAAATAAAAAGAAATTTTTATTTTATTCTTATGTCTGCTGTTTCTTCCAGCCCTCATCGAGGAGAGAGGCTTGACACCATTACTGGACGACCTAAGGAAACTCGGTGGCTGGCCCGTTCTGGACGGCGCGAGATGGAACGAGGGCGACTTCACTTGGAAAGATTCCGTCTACAGATTCCGCAGGCAGGGCTATTCCGTTGATTACTTCATCGATTTCGGCGTCAGTGTCGACCTGAAGAACAACTCGAGACGCTTGATCGACGTAAGCGCAAAACAAATTATTCTGAACACGGGATTCGGAACAAACGCTGAACGAAGACCATAATTTATGAGTATAAATTGATATGTAAAATGAAATGATAGTAAGCCAAGTGAGATGTAAGTCGTGATCTTTTTTTCTCTGAGCCAAATATATATGGCATTTGTCTCGAGCCAATGCACGCTGAACAGAAATTGTGAATTTTTATAGCTCGATCAAGCAGCGCTCGGTCTCTCGCGTGAATATCTGTCGAAAGGCTTCAACGACAAAATCGTTCAGGCATATTACAAATACATGGTGGACATCGCTGTGATTCTCGGTGCCAATCCGAGCCGAGCTCAGGCAGAACTGAAAGAGTCGCTTGAATTTGAAATCAAGCTCGCGAATGTAAGTTAACCCTAGTCTGTTAACCGATACGAAGTAACTCTAGATAGAACATGAATTGATGAGAAATTGTTTTCAAATCGATTGGGATTCACGGTGATCGATTAAATATGCCACGTAGATCTCCCTGCCGAATGAGAAACGACGCAACGTGACTCTCCTCTACAATCCAATGACTGTGAACCAGCTGTCCGCGGCTTATCCTAGCATACCGTGGTGGGAATACTTTAACACCATCCTCGCGCCGCAAGCGCAACTACAACAAGACGAGATAGTAATCGTAAATGTGCCCAGCTATCTGAAAGACTTTGAAAAACTGATCACCACGACGCCAAAGCGGGTGCAGGCAAACTATGCGCTTTGGAGAGCGACTGCCGCGTCAGTCAGCTACTTGACGGATGACATCCGGAAGAGACAGCTGAAATACACTGTGGAGTTAAACGGCAAGACAGAGAGAGAGCCGAGATGGAAGGAATGCGTGGACATCGTATCCGGCAGCATGGGAATTAGTGTCGGCTCGATGTACGTAAGGAAGTACTTTAAAGAGGACGCGAAGAACGCTGCGCTCGAAATGGTCGACGATATCAGGCAGGAGTTCATAAAGATTCTGAAGAAGGTAAGAGAATATACAAAAATGGAAATTATGAAGAACATGAAAATATATCGTGATACTTTGACATTTTCTTTATCTGTGAGTGGAATCTCAAAACTTAAAGCCTCTCTTTCTTTTTCTTTCTTATAGCATTTCTGTCGTTATCTACAAATTACAATAAATTAACATTAAAGAAACATGCTTAAAAAATTGTCAGGTTAAATCTTGTCAGATGCGTCTTTATCAATAAATTAAAATGTTGGAGAAATGGGATTTAGTTAGCCTGATTTTAAGGGATATGGGTTAAAGATATTAATTGTCAAAATCTCTATAATACAGCGTGAAAGTTGATAAGTTTTCAAAATTGCACATGTTCTTAGGTGGACTGGATGGATGAGAAGACCAGAGCAAACGCTTTAGAAAAAGCAGCCGGCATGGCTTCGCATATCGCCTATCCAAACGAGCTGTTGGACGACAGAAAGCTCGAGAAATTTTACGAGGGACTTGAATTAAGTGCTGACGATTACGTAGGAAGTATTTTTAACTTGTCCATGTTTGGAACAAATTTCTCATTTGGCAGACTGAGACAGCCAGTAAATAAGACAGAATGGATAAGTCATGCAAGACCAGCTATCGTCAATGCGTTTTACTCGTCGATCGAGAACAGTATTCGTAAGTATTTAAGTACAAACGATCCCACACATATACACTGATAAAAAAAATAACTTAATCAAAAAAAATATTACTTTATTCAAGAATATTATTCTTTATCAAATATATCTTTATTTGAATGTAGAAAATGTAATGATTTAAATTAATTTACTTAAGATAATACATAGATTTACTTGAAATTTTATATTTTTATTTAAATAGAATAAATATTTACTTCAGTAAAAAAATTATTTTAGGTAAATCTACTTGCAATACTTAGTTAAAAAAAATTTTTTGTCAGTGTAAATATATCAAGAAATAAATACTGGATTATTATCTTTATGAAATTGAATAAGCGTTATATCAAATTCATGATTATATTAGTTTGGCTCCTCATTCGCCAAGTCATTCTTTTATTTTTTTCTCGTAGAATTCCCGGCGGGTATATTACAAGGTGCATTCTTCAGCAATGACCGTCCACGCTACATGAATTACGGTGCCATCGGTTTTGTCATTGGCCATGAGATTACTCACGGTTTTGACGACCAAGGTAGACAATTTAATAAGGAAGGTAATCTCGTGGACTGGTGGCAGTCAGAGACGAAGAAGCGTTATCTCAAGAAGGCCGAATGTATAATTCATCAGTATGGAAATTACACCGTGAAAGACGTTGGATTGAACGTAAGATAAATTTTACATGTTTATTTCGGTATTTATTCCCCTGCTACGTCAAAATTTTTTTATATTTTTAACTTGGCAGAATTTAATTTATAAAGATATATCGGTAAAATATGAAGAAACTTCAGCCGTGTGGAGCAAATTGTTTCGCAATTCGTACTTGTTGTCAGTGACGTCATAAACAAAATAACTTTCAACGACAATTGAAAGCTATTTTCTTTATGACGTCACTGACAACAAGTACGAATTGCAATTTGCAAAATGGTCAAAATTGCTATGACATCTTTCCCGATTCGCTGATAAATCGCTGATAAATACGCAATAGATAAAAGCTTACTGTCTTTGCAAAAATAATAATCGTTCGAGCTAACGTTTATTCGTATTGCAATACTATGAGAACGTCACAATGGAATATTCATACACGATAAGAATAATGACAATGATAACAGAAGTAACTAGTGATAAGAGAACTTTCGTAATATTCCATTAAGTCTCCGTACAAAATTAAAGTCAGCAAGCTAACTGAAGAAAAAAATGTAACGAGGTCAAAAGCAAGCTACGCAGTATCTTTAAAACGTATCGTATGTTTGTTACAGTTCTAAGCGAAACAAGACGCACGTTTTGCTAGATAAATTGAGACGCGCGAGACAATTTGTCAGCGAAATTGTTGAATTATTCTTTTTGCGATGGGATAAAGAATATAATTTAGTAATTAATACAACACACAAACCGCGGATGTTTCTGTAAATGTTAACATATAGAGCATCGTTTGTCAAACTTTTTAAACCCGCGATTCTCACAGACATAAACAAAGTAAAATTAATACTTTGCGAACTTCTTGCAATAATTCAATAAGGCAGAGCGGGGCTTTCGCTCAGTTAAAGGAAAATTCGTATAAAACATTTTGTAAAATTATTATTTCGCAATTCCTCTGATCCCTCTTGGAGTCACGACCCCCAGTTTAAGATACGCTGGCATAGAACAAGTTAACATTCCCCAACTCCCGTAAAAGACCCTAGTAGCACAATATATTGGCGCAATATTGGCTTTACGTTGAACAATATCGGCCAATGCGTTTCTAATATAACATTGGGCCAATATTTAGCCAATGTTTAGCCAATGCATTTTGCTACTAGGGGAATATCGCGACTTCTTTCGCGCGACTATATAGAAATATTTTCTAGATTGGAACTTGGCCACAGTATATTTTGCGCTCTTACAGCTGAACGGGATAAACACCCAGGGTGAGAACATCGCGGACAACGGTGGCATAAAGGAGGCCTATTTCGCGTACAGAGAGTGGGTGAAGCGTAACAAACCGGAGCCGAGATTGCCGGGCCTGCCGTACAGCCCGGAGCAGTTGTTCTGGATAAGCGCGGCCAACTCCTGGTGCAGCAAGTACCGGCCGGAGGCGATGAAGCTGCGGATCACGACGGGCTTCCACAGCCCGAGCGAGTTCCGCGTTCGCGGTCCGCTGTCGAACATGGAGGAGTTCTCGCGCGACTTCAATTGCCCGGTCGGCTCCAGGATGAATCCCGAGAAGAAATGTACCGTGTGGTAGATCGCGGGCGTACACAGAGTCGGCGAGGTACACCGCGAACACAGCGACGCTGGCCGACTCCGTTTTTTAACCTTAGAAGTTACAATTCCACACACACACACACACCTGTTACTTCTGTTGAGCACCGTTAAATTTGTAGTGTCAAATTTTAACTCGATGAGTAGCCGCCACTGCTCCTGTTCAATGTCGTTAATTTAATTAAGCAGCGGAGCTAAAAGAAAGCATACGTCTCAAATGGGTTGAACAAGAGCTGCAGTTGTTTTTTTAACAATTTTTGTTAAAATAATAAATTGTACTATCCGCGATAATTAAAAATGATAACATATTGAGCAGTGGCGACTGCTCATTGCATCAAATTTGACTCATCACGAATTTAACAGCGAAGCAACCAAATTTTATTCCTAGCTGCTCAGCGCCGAAACACCCATGCTTTCCAAGAAGACAGGATAGCACTGTGCCTCTCGGCCACGAAACCTTGTTTGTCTTGTCCTATTTATGAAAAATTACATGCGATTATTTATTTATTGTCTCTCTCTCTCTCTCGAATATTCGCACTGTCGCTTCTAAGGTTAACGGATGTAATGGAGTCGTCGATCTCATAGCTAGCAGGATACGGTAGCTTGTTTCCCGCCCTCATAGTGTCCTGCCGTGCGACATTTGCCGCAGCGGGGAATTTTGTCGGTGCCGCTGCTCGAGAGCAAGAACTGAAATTTCGCGACAGTACGGAGTATGCAAATGGGAAGCGCTCTCCGGGGAAATCCGCGGGGGGAGGTCCACGGAGATCGACCCGCGCGATCTTAGACATGTGGAACGCACACATGCATTATGTATCGTTTTTTGGTAAACTTTTATAAGGAGAAACATGTCGCGGGGGACGCGCGTTACGTTGTAAATAGAAAGAAGATGATAACGGAGCTATTGGTTATACGAAGTTGTACCGCTTAACTGTTTTCGGCGTGTTAAGCATTGCCGATTCCTGCACCGGCGACAACGTTTGTCGACGGTCTTAGATTGTTACGGAGAAAATTCAGTTTAATTGTTCTCTAATGCGCCCTAAGTGTAGCTACTAGTTTTTATGGTTGAGAGAGATATATATATATATATATATGTGTGTGGTAAAAGAGATGTTGGCAGCTTTGTTAAGAATTAGCTTTTTTTTATCGTTGACAATCTTGTTGAGTCTCGCTTTTTAGGGTGAATTTTCAAGTATTCCGTTGACGCTAGGATAAATAATAACGGCGCGCACTGTACAGAGGATGGCTCGCAAAATCGGCGACACGAGAAAGGAACCCGGGCGGAGCGGCATGAAAATTCTTCGAGTTTTAGGTATTCCTTTCTTTTTTATACGAAAAAAAAACCTCGGAAGCTATCGTTTGTTGCAGCTGTTTTATGTCGAGTATTATTTCGTAGTATTATCGAGTAGCAATTAGATCGCAAGTTGAATTTCCAGCGAAGAAAAAAAAACCGAGGTCCGCTTAACGCGACGTTCAAACCACGCAGGAAAAATTTACAAAGATTCGTTGCTTGTTTGAATTCAAATGGAACGTGCAGGAGCAGGACGATTCTCAATATTCTACGATCTGCACCCCGCATAGTCGTACATTTACCTGCGAATTCCGATAATTCAGCGCGATAACTTTTGTTTCCCGTCGATCGTAAGGTCCGTTTAGTCGTAGAGAATCGCGAGAATACACCTGGAACAACTTATTACACAAGTATTAAGCGTAGCTGTTTAACTGCGAGCGATCGAACCGGGATTCCTCGCAATCGCTTTCCACCGTGTTACGTCCCTTACGTCCGCATTTTTACCGTGCGCCATATCTTCCCCCCCCCCCCCTCTCTTCGCTCCTCTCCCTTAAACGTATTTCTCGTATTTATTACGATGGCCGATAAGTTAATCGCCGTAAGTCTAAGCAGAAACGTATGTACCTTGTAAGGTTTTTTTGTTTCTCTGTTGAATGTAAGAATTTAATACAGGAAAACTTCATGTAAGCTTGATGGCGTTGTACCTTTGCGCGCTCGCGCGTTTCCCCCAGGAAGACGCCGCTCGCTTCTGGAATGCACAGGGCAGCGCAAATTTTCGGGCGCGCCCGAGGAGATTTCAAGATGTCGCGAAGGCAGACGCGCTCGATGCCGCCACTTACCTCGGGATGCCCTTCGGAAAAAAAATGGCGGGACGGTCCTTCCGATCTCCTTGCAGGTCGCAATTTTCGGCGGCCGCGCGAGGGAATTGAAGGTCGCGGAGACGCGCGCTCGATGCCGCCAACTCGTCGTCGAGCGACTCCGCGACGATGCCCTTCGGGGTAGACGACGGGACGGTCCTTCCGATCTCCTCGCAGCTCGCGATCTCCAGCGCCCGCGGCCGCGCGTGGAAGTTGAAAGAAGTCGCGGAGCAGCGCGCTCGATGCCGTTCACTAACCTTGTCGCCCGGTACCTCGACTCGGGGGGGGATTTTCTCGCGAATCGCAGTTTCCGGTGACGTTATGGCGACGCGAATTACGTCCGAAGCCCTCGCGGCCGCGATCGACCGACGCACCGGAGTCCGTTACTCGCGGGCGAGAGCGGGCACGCGGCGAACTTCCAGAAGCGGCTTACCGTTGCGCGCCTGTTGCGCGTGCAACGCCGGATTCGACAGCCCGCGTAGCGGCGCAACGACGTTTCGCGGGTCCATTCGGTATTGCCGATACCGTACGCGGATTGGATACCTTCTCCGACTACCTGGACGCGATGTACGTACCTCTTTCGCAAGAGCGCGACGCGGCTTCCTCGACGCGAAAGCGCGGAAAGGCGCGGGCGAGCGCTTTCGAACGGCGCGAGAGCAAGATGGCGGCGGCGGCGGCGGCTGCGCCGCCCGACGGATCCGCGCGCGGCGCGCAGCTTCCGCTCTGGCGCCGACGAGGACCCGCTGAAAGATTCAACGGGGGGCGAATATCGCGCGGCCGAAAATGACATGAAAAATAAATAGAATAGCGATTCTATCAAATATGCAGGTAGCCGCAACGGAGGGGGACGAGGGTGCGCGCGATCTCGAAGGAACGGCGCGCGCTACTGACGCACGGTACCGCACGCGCATGCGCGCGCCCCCGATTGCGTCCGTCATCGCCGGCGCTCGCGGACTCGCGGCCGCTCGTGGAACAAAGGAGCGCGCGCGCGGTGCGAGAGGAGCGAGTGGCCGTGTCTTCTCTCGCGCGCGAGGACCTCGCGAAATTGGAACCGGATCGACCGCCGCCCGCAGGGACCGACGCGAGCTACGCGCGCCAAGCGATGGACAGGCCGCCGTACAAGCTGAGCAGCGTGCTGCGCGGCCACAGCGCCGACGTCAGAGCGGTGGCGACCTTACTCGACGGCACCGTCGTGTCCGTCTCCCGGGACAAGACTGCGCGCGTGTGGCGACCGACCGGGTTGGTAGCGGATTCCGTCCAGCTCTGTCCAGCGGTGATCCGAGTCCGCCTCCCCCTTCTCCCCTCCTCCCCCGTTCTCGTGCGATTTTCGTTAAAAAGAGTCGCGGGGGTTTTTGAGGTTATCTCCACCGGGTCGGAGAGCAAGGGCGCCCTCGGGTCCCGCGAACTGTTTGTGTTATCCAGTCTCTTCGCTGATGGTCAAAGGTCTACGATGGGTCGTTGGTCAGAACTAGGTGTCTATAGATTTGTTTTCTGAACTAGTGCAATTAGAGTAAAGCCTTGTGTCCACGGTCCAAGAACAGTATCCAAGTTCTGGTTCCAAGAAGACGCATAAGCAATCAACTTGCAGCTTTTCCATAAAAGATACAGGTTGATTGGTATCTTTAGTCAGGAATATATTTTCTCGTTCTAGCTTACTGCACCAGTTCACCAGTGCAGGAACAGAAAACAAACCTTTCGTATAAACTGTATAGTTTTGACTTCTGACTAATGACTAGTCGCAGTCCGGGCCCCAACTCTTTCACGAGAGATACGTTCCTCTGCGCGAGATTAAGCGTGCACGTACACTAGGAGTCGCCGATGCCTTTCCATGTTAATTTAGGCAGGTGTAAGACACATACATACATTTCCCGTTGCTCACCGAGTGGTAAACAAGGATAAAACGATACACTGGGGCACTCGAGTAACATTTCCGAACGCAGCTTATGTATATGCAAAGTGTATAAATGTGTTGATATGTGTACAGACTCATGTGTCAGGGCATCGGTGATTCCTAGTGTACATGGACGGGTCTCTCGACTGAATGTTGATGTTGAAAATCACCTCTAATTGCGAGGAATTACGCAAGAGACATAGTTTGATCCTTTAACACTTGAGGAAACGTGCCGTTGTGTCGTTCCACTTGTGTTTCTCTTGCTGGAAAATGCCTTTGTAAAGCCTGATCTACAATGTGCGATAGGACGCGTTCTATTTCGTGTAAGCAAATCGATATACTTAAAATAAAACTTGTCAACCTGCGCAAACTTCTTAAACGTATTTGTAGGCCACAGAGAATAACGCTTTAGACGCAAGGAGCGCGTTGTAGATCAGCCTGACAACTCCAGGCGCCTTACTGACGCTGAGAACGTTTGCAGGAAAGGTAACGAGTACGAGCAGAGCGCAACGTTGACGGGCCACTCCAACTTTGTCAGTTCGGTGTGCATTATAAACCCGTCGGAGAGAGACCCCAAGGGTTACATCATCACCGGCGGCCACGACAACACCATATGCGTCTACGTGGCGGACGAGACGGAGCCCGCTCGTACGTTGCAGGCGCACGAGAACAACGTATGTAAATTGAGGACCGGCAAGCGGGAGGGCACGTTCCTCTCGAGTTCCTGGGATCTCACCGCCAAACTGTGGGACATGAGGGACCTGAGCAAGCCGCAGCTGGACCTCGTGGGTCACACCGCCGCGGTGTGGTGCGTGGCGGATCTGTTGAACGGTAGCATAATAAGCGGCTCGGCCGACAAGTCGATAATAGTGTGGTCGATGGACGGCTCGGTGCAGCACAAGTTATCGGGGCACACCGACTGCGTCCGCGACATAGTTGACATTAAGGAGAACGAGTTCCTAACTTGCGCGAACGACGCCACTATAAGGCACTGGGACGCCAAGCTTGGAGTATGTTTAGGCACTTATTGCGGCCACGAGAATTATATCTACAGTATAGCAGCCGTCCCGAACGGTGTCTACGTCTATTCAGCTGGGGAGGACAGGACTATCAGAATATGGTACAATGCAGAATTGAAGCAGACCATTGTTCTGCCAACGCAGTCGGTATGGTGCATCGATTTGTTGTCGAATGGCGACATAGTCGCCGGGAGCTCCGACGGGGCCGTCAGGATATTCTCGTCCGATCCCGAACGTCACGCAAATATGGAGACGTTGGAAGCGTTTGAGAAGGAAGTAGCGAATACGAGTCTGAATGCGCAGCAGGCAATCGGAGACATCAGTATAAAAGAGTAAGTACACTCCACTTTCAATAAGATAAGTTATTTTGATTTGTAATCAGTTGTAATTAATTTTTATGTGTACAGTTTGCCAGATTCGAAAGTTCTCCTGCAGCCCGGCCAAAGAGACGGCCAAACGAAGATAGTGAACGAAGGGGACGCGGTTAGGGCGTACAGTTGGTCGCAAAGCGAACAACGGTGGATAAAAATTGGCGATGTGATGGGCGCGTCCGGCGGTACCGCAGCCACCTCCGGAAAGCAACTTTACAACGGCATAGAATACGATTATGTCTTCTCAGTCGACATACAGGACGGTGTGCCACCTTTGAAACTCCCATATAACAAGGGCCAGGATCCCTGGCACGTCGCCCAGAAGTTCCTTCATGACAATAATCTCAGTCAATTATTTTTAGATCAGGTATAGACTTTAAAAAGTGTGCAATTTTGTCAATATTGTCCAATGACAAGTGTAACCTCATTTATTTAAAAATATTCTAAAATTGTAAATCTGAAAATAATTGTGATGTAATTTATACATTTCAGGTTGCAAATTTCATAGTGAAGAATTCTGAGCCAGCCCCTATTTTGAATGCTGGATCGCAATATGTAGATCCATTTACAGGAGAAAACCGATACGTTCCCGGGTCAGGAACATCGTCGTCTAGTACACCCGATGTCGGTGCACAATCATCGACGTTTAGTTCTTCCAACGAAGCCGTAGCTCCCTCTTATATACCTCACTTGAGGTATTTAAAGTTTGAACAAGCAAATTCAACTGCTATTTTGGGTAATTAAGACTTGTTTAAGATGATTTGATACAATAGAGATGCACTATAAATTTACATAATTTTTAGTAAAATATTTACGATTGCAGGCAAGTTGCACGAGTTAAATTCTAAATACTTAGATAATAAAGAAGAAAATATATATAAAATACCAGAGGAGAAGGAAGACGCGATAAATGAGCTTGTAAAAAATTACAAGCAAGTGTCTAAAGAAGTTAGGACCAGTGCTATCAGTGCACTAAAGAGTCTTATAAATTGGCCGAACGACACGGTATTCCCAGTTCTCGATATAGCGAGACTCACTATACTCCATAAGGAAGTAAACGACGAACTGTGTACGGAGGAGCTGATTCCAATCATAAGAAGGCATATCAAATCCGACGCATTTCCCTGCAATCAAATGCTCACCTTCCGTCTGATAGCCAATATGGTCCAGCATGAAAAGGGAGAAAAACTCTGTCTGGATTATAAGGACGAGATACTAAAGTCTCTGCTGGATCTACAGTCCCTTGGAGATAGACACAATCAGGTATGTCACATCAGTTACTAAAATAATAAACACAAAAGAACTTTCAAGGGCCTAAATCACACAAATTATTGATAGAATAATTGTTGTGAGGGCAATTTTTTATTTTATTAATATTTTAACATGACGTGATACTGGGTGAAAACTGAAAACGATGTAAGATCTGCAAAGGGGTGAGCTTACAGATTGCGATCTTATGTTGTAGGTTGCAATGTCGACTTACATATTGAATCTGATCGTAGCGCTAAACAAATATAATGACGGACCTGGTAGGACGAGAGCTCTAAATGTATTATTTACCATATTGCCCAATTTGAAGGAACCTGAGGCAATATTCAGAGCTTTAGTTGGACTAGGAACGTTATTAGCTGCTACACCAGATCCCAATGATCGTAATGAATTAATTAGCGCTGTACGACAATCGGAGACCGCTTTGAATGTTCTTAGAACTCTATCGGAGAGCACAACCGAGCGCAATACGTCCAACAAAGTGGTAAACTGTTCCAAGCAGATTATCGATTTGATTATCTAATATATTTATGAGATGAGATACGTTGCTCATAAATTAATATATAAAATACAGTTATAAATAAATAAGTATGCACGTGTACGCATGTTTTGCAGCTCGGTTGCTCAATCGTAAAAAATAAATACATTTTTTATGCGACTAACATTCATCATTTAAATATATATATTCCCCTCATTATGGCACGTCTAAAAAATAGATTTGTACCATAATTGCTGGATTATTACAACAGTTGCATTACCCTACGTTGGAGAAATACAGGGTGTCCCTGAATGGTCTGTACAAACTTTTGGAATAAGTTCCAGGGACCTAAACAAGCAGAAATGTCCCATGAACATGGGGTCGGAAACCTTGCTTCTGGAGTTAGACGTTTCGAAGTTCCCTACTAATGCCTGGAGAAATTATCGCGTAAAATCGCATAGGTGTTAGTTATTCAATAAAGTTTATTTATTGAAAACCCTTGTTTATTCTATCTCAGTACCAGACGTAGCAACTCTTCGCCAGCGGATCGTGGACGGCTGCGACACCATCCGTAACACACCAGGTATTATAATTTTCCAACGGGTTTGCCAGTCAATGCGACGACGTGCGCAGGCTTCTTTGAAACTCAACGGAGGCCATTTCGAACATTTCCTATAGCGCGTGTACTGTCCTGTTATGTTCGTGGCAAAAGCAAGAAAATAAATAAACTTTGTAACACCTATGCGATTTGACGTGATAATTTCTCCAGCTATTGTAGGGAACTTCGAAACGTCGTAACTCCAGAAGCAAGCGTGTCTGACCCCATGTTCATTGGACAATTCTGCTTGCTTAGGTCTCTGGAACTTATTCCAAAAGTTTGTAGACCATTCAGGGACACCCTGTATAAGATGCATCTGTATAATTTTATATGGTTTCAAAAATTGCATAATACTTTTTGCAAGAGTAACAAGCAGTATCTTTAAATGTATTTTCAATCTATCCAATACGTACGCAATTTATTGGTTAAACTCATACAATTACAGCTCTAAATTAATATCTTAACAATTTATTTATTTGCTCAATTCTTCATTACAACTGACCAAGATAAAGTTATTCGACATACATATTGACTGTATCGGGACTAAGACAAAATGATATGTGTTTTAGGGCTTTTACGTACTTTTTAATTTCATCTTGTCGTAAAGCATACATAAATATTTCTTAATAAACGAACGATGTCAAGAGATACATAATACGTATTTTTATAATATACTTCGATGACACAAAATTCGAAGATGCAGTTTCTCCGAATTTTATCATCGATTTTACATCAGAAGTACAAAAATGAATTAATTAACAATATGCATTTGCAATGTAGGAAAAAATTAAAACAACTGTTAGACATTGAGATAATAGAAATTGAATTAATTACTACTACTGCCGCGGCAATATTAATATCCCAATGTATAAATGTATACAATCCACATATTTCGTTTTACATCGTCAAACAAATTTGGAAAGTAAGAGACAAAGCTAGTTGTATGGAATGTAAATGACCTGCTTAAATGACAATTGATTACTTATAGTTTAAGTAAGATAAGTTGTACTTCTAATGAAAATTAGTTAAAATATATACAACGATGAATATAAAATAATAATTTATATAATATACACATATAATATTTGATTAAATTTCTCGGGCACACGCACCCAGTAAACATACAACAGACAACAGTGTAATAGTAGAATATTGTTATTATATTAACGTCAAATATATATATATAAATATATTATATATATAAATATATATACTTATATTTATATATATAATGTATATATACATATTTCCTTAGTTATATATCAATTTACTCCTGCAACAGCCACGAGTTATTAATTGTCGCGACTCTTGCAGTTAATTATTACACCAAAAATAACATTCATTTGTATACACACTCATATTAACTTCAATTATGCTCAATGAACGATACATATAGTAGTAGATGAAAGATAGTTAGTGTCAGGCCATTTTGGCTCGGGAATGTGAATGCATTTCTTTTCTTTTCTTTACAAAAATAACTTTCAATATATATCTGAGATCTGTAAGATAATAGAAACAGTGCTGATTCATACAATTCAGAATCCAATTTAGCGCACGAGAGTTATTACTAGCAATAAATAGCTAGATGCGTCTCTTCATACGAATGCACAAGCCCGACGTCCTCGTGTAGAAAAGTATCTATGTAAAAAATCCGAAGTTGCTCTGATGCCAGCGAAAATGTAACGTGCAGGAACCATTATCTTTCAGATTTCTGTATGTAACAGTGACGACGGAGTCTGCTTGGCGACAAAACCGATTTCTGATATTTGAAAGCGTTACTTTAACAGTAACATTTATCTCATTGTCAGATTAAAAAGAAAATGTTAAAACGAAATCGAAAAAAAGCCTGTAATTTGGACGTTTTGTACAGATATATCAAGAGATCAACCGTGACAAAATGAATGAGGAAATCAAGTCGGCATGGAATTTCACATTTAAGCATTGGCCTGTCGAGAGCTGTGCAGTCAAGTGGTCAAGAAGTGCTCTTAGAAAATAAGATCTTAAAACAGTCAGAGCGCCTTTCTACAACGTTATTAATTGGCTAAATATTATATGTTTATCATTAACAATAGCGTATTCTTTGAATTTTCAGCAATTTCTTCACAACCATGCAGAATTGATAAAGAATAAGAGTTTAAAGTAACGCCTTCATATACCATTTCCGAGTAACTTGGACACAAGTTTCTCTAAACTCCGTTAAAACCGTTGACAAGCCTGGTTTTTCTCATGAGCGGGAGAGATTCGGAATGCCCTACAGAAATGCACTGATTCCTAAGATGTGTCCTCTCTTAAACTTAAGTTACTGGCATATGTACCTGAGGCGACGTGCATATACCTTTCGCGCATCTCGAAGGTCAGAATGCATTGAGGCAATTACCCGACGTAAGTTACTTTAGTGTGTCGAAAAACTACTATGGAAAATTACCCATTACAAATCTTGAGTTTTACTTTTTACACAAACAGTTGAGTAGAAGCTCAATGGCGGATTTAAGAATCAGGTTGAACGATACTTGGGCCCTTACTTGGGCCTCCAGACTTCGGAAGTGCTAGCTTCTGAAAGAAAATATCTGCGCATTCTTAGCAGCTTACGCGAATAAACAATCTGGTTGTTTTTGGAGAGGGAGGGGAAGGAATCTATTTCGTGCTCGCGTGAAGCTTTAAATTCGTCCCTGTGTGTACAGAAGCTCCCTTAATTTTGTACCACAAAACTTAGCATACTAAGCGGTGATGCTTTATCTTCAACTACTTTTAATTGCCTGGTGGGAACTCGTCGTTTTTTTAGAGATTACTTCGCGCATGAAATACCGCTTGCAGTAAAATAAACACAGCCTCATTAATTGAAGGATTTGGGGAAAGAAGTATTAAAATATATATATATATATATATGTTATAGAACTCTCTTGAGGTATGGCGGTACGCATTATTACCTCGCGAATATATAGTACTTGAATCCGATATATCTCGCATACCGTTTACAATTATACACGCTAAAGGTTTCTCAAAACTTGGAAGCATAACATCAGAATGTACAATTACAATTGCGCGACTGTTGCGCGATGAGAAATTACGGGATCTCGTTTACAAAATACTTTCAATGTCCTTTGCTGCCACAACAATTCAGAAAAGAGTATTATAAACGTTGCTTCTTCTTTTTCACGGAAGAGCATCAACAGCCATATCATTTACTCTTTCCCTAAGTCACAACACGACTGCATCGACTATTAGCGTGATTCGACGGCATAACGTAACGGTGCCCGATTTCCGTAATTGAAAATTTCAAGATAGACAGGGCATCGTCGCTGCAGGAATATATCGAAGCATAGTATTACTGAACGCTGAAAAGAGCTAATGGTCTAACGAAGAGATAATCTTTTTCTAATTGATATATATATATTTTTTTTCTTTACTTAAGTATTATCCCCTCATTCCTAAATTACTTCTAAATTTTGGCAAAAGTATTCGTCTCCTTTTCTTCTACATTACGTTGAGTATTGAAGAACTGTCGCGATACGCACGCGTGTCTTCGAAAACTAATCTTTTCAAAACTCAATATATCTATTCAGAATTTAAATAATTTGTACATCTTTGATAGACGTGGCTGTGCGCAGCCACCCTAGGAATGAGAGGCTCGTTAGAAAGAAACGAGAAGTTACGAAAGGAAAGTGTCGGCGCGGTAACTAACTTCGGATGCCTCCTAAGATCTACCTCTCGGCGCTCGCCAAACGCGTCTAATATTCCATTCCATCTGGAATATACCGCGGGGCGCGGACTCGAATGCTCGTCTGGCATATCAAAAGTGATAAAGCGCATTATCGTAACCTTCGGCCAGGATTTACCTGATAATGCGTGGTGACGGAGAGACCTAAAATTTGTATTGGGTACCCCCAAGTCCGTTTCATTCGGCCGGTGTACTTGCCGCCCACCTGTCAAACTCGATTCCCGAGTCGGGACTGAGTCCCAGGTCAATGGGGCTCAGGAAGCTGGGCGCTGGGCAATTGCAGGGCCCGTTGGGTCGGCATGCCCCGATGCACCTCTGGTCGGTACTTTTGTTCTCTCCCCCTCGGTCCCTCAACTCCTGCTCGAAGCTGTGCAACTGCTCCATAAAGTGGAAATTCGGTGCGATATTGGACTTTCTACTACGTACTAGGTTGAAAGCGTCGTTCAGGCTGAGGCTGCACTTGTGCATAAGATAAGCCACGGTAATCGTGACCGATCGAGAAATCCCGGCCAAACAATGTACCAGCACTCCCTTATCCGAGTTCCGTGCCTCCTCTGAAAAATACGCGACGGATCGCGATTTTAATCCTACAATCGTTCATTTCATCGATTGCTGCGCTGATATTTAATACACTTATTTCACGCAATATACAAGATACAAGCTTCCCAGGTAGCCAGCTGACGACTAGCCAGTGACGTCAGCTGGCTACCTGGCTTATTTCGCAATGCCTTTCCAGGATGCGTAACGCAGACACTTGTTGAATCAATTGACGTCGAAAGGATTGAAAGACGCGATATTTTAAGATTAATTCTGACGAAACGTATAACGTTGTTATTTGAGAGCTATCGTGTAACGAGGATACAAGTGGAGGATATCAATTAGCAATCGCGTTAGCTACTCCTCGATATATACTCGGTGCTCGTTGATTAGAAAATTGTGATGAAAGCGTTAAAGAAAACAATGCGTGTCACGAAATTCGTTTAAATGGCGCCAACAAAGAAGTCGGATCGCTAATGTGTCAGGACAGTCAAAAGTGTCAGGCCGGCTCAATAGCAGTGCCAAACCTCGCCATTCAGGCTTAAGTATAGCTCTCGGCCTAACCGGACATCCGTTGTTTAATTGTCTAGTGCGGCTTGCTCGCCACGTGGGAAAGTTTCTATTTAGGCGAACCTATTTATAAGAATGCCCCTTTCAGAAGCTGCGCGGGGTCCTTCTTAAACAGGAAATCCTGTTTAAGAAGCGGTCGGAACAAGATTTCGACGCGGAAAAAAGCTCCGAGCGCAATAAATAAAAGTTTACGTCACTCGCGCGCGTCCTCGTGTGCTCGTGTTGAAATAATTTTTGTCTGCGCATCTTTTCGCGCTAATATACGACACGCGAAATATTTTCTTTCAATTCTGGATATTATGAATCGCTGATGCGTCTCGTTGGCATAATTTTTTCACAGCGAAATATTCATTCAGCACAGTGCAAGGCTACGAAATACCGATCAATAGCCGAGAGTCTTCTTTTATTTGCGCGAGAAACGCTTTGCCTCTTTGCGTATCGTGCAACGAGTTAAAAAAGAAGAGATACATCGCCTACAAAAGCAATTTATTTCAAAAGGGGCATAAATGAAATTAAAAACTCTCGACGTTAACCGCGGTAAGAAACGCTGTTATTTCCTACTCGAATTTACACAGTTTCCAATAAGTGTGCCTTGGTGTGTCCGGTACGCCGCGTCACTTACCTATAAACTGAATCGCCTGCGGGAAGAAACTAGCCAAGTTCTGACTCCAGTGGTCGCTTATCGGTATCTGCATGTACTTTATTGAGCCGCCGCTTTCAAATACGTTTGGCAAGTCCGGTGTCACATTGAGTATGTACTGTATGCTGTGCCGCGCTAAAGACTCGCGATCCTCACTATTGGCCGCGTTACCGAGAAACAAATGAGGTAAAATTTCCACCGGAAAATCTTTATCTTCCTCGGGACCTGGATTGCAGAGACACGAATTCACTATTACTGCGCCACGCCGTTGCAACATATTTCTACATCATAGTGTTATTCACATTGTTACATTGCTTTTCATTAAGGTACATGCATTACTGCCGCATGAGATACCCCCTTGGGCCAAAGTGAGAGTATACGAAGGGAACGTCTGCTCACCAATTGAATCACACGTGCTGTCACTGTCAGAGTCCGAATAAGACCTGATCGGTGGAGTAGATATTCGAAGGGATCTAAGGCCCATTAATTCGCCATCGTTATTGTCCTGAGCTGGGTCGCATTCATTAGTGGCTTGACTACCCTCGCACCACTCCGGATATTTATCTTTAAATGCTTCGAAACCACCTACAAATAAATACCATGTGGTAATAAAAATTATGTGGGGGGGGGGAGGGGGGTCAGTCGAGTCGAGATCGATTCAGACCGCTCGCGATTTGCCCGGCGCGTAAACTCGCGAGACAACTTTTATTCCGCGCGACGAGAGGAAATATTAATAGTGCCTTCAAATTCAATGACTTGCAATGACGCGTTCGGCAAATTTGCCTTATCTTGGAAGTTAAGGGGCCCGTTCCGTGAACTCTAACGACGCGATTACGTGCATCGCGCAGCTCCACCGTGGTATATTACGCCCGCGTAACGACGTCGTTAACGTTTTACAGAATAGACCCTCGAATTTTGCGCGTAGCATTTCGAAAAGCGTAAGGATCTCGCGCGCGTTCCCGCGACTCCTCGATCCAGTCTCTCGCCGACGAGATCGTAGAACGGAATCGAGGCAAGGAGGCACCGTTCTATTTTGCGTTACAATGCGCGTATTAATACATTTGCAATCGGCAAAATTTCTCGCTGTCGAACGAAACGTTGAATGACTGAACAGTTTTATCTAAAGCCTGATAAAGGCCGGCTATAGAATTAAGTGTCTGGTTCTACCGGAATGCCTCCCACATAAATCAATATTTCATTCACAAGCAGTCCCTGTGCTTCGACTGTTACTTCTCTCTCTCTCTCTCTCTCTCTCCTTCCCCCCTCCCCTCCCCCGAGGGCCTTTCTACATCACAATTACCGTCGCCGGTCCGTGCGCGGCAACGCGACAACGAAATAATAGGAATGCAGAGTTATAATTAGCAATTATCGCGTGACGTTTAGCAGCTAAATTTAGATTCGCCTTTATTAAAACGGGCTCGCTCGAGCGCGGTCGCCGGCGATAATCCCGGCGGCAACTGGAGAACGTTGATGCCGCGGTGCGTAAGGTCCGCGCGGGTCCCCGGACCCGCCGCACCACATCGATCACTCGGATTTGCGAGGGGGGCGACGCGTACCCCAACCGGGACTCGAGCTACGGCGGATCGCGCGACTCGCGGGGGGCAGGAAGAAGAGCCGAGCTCTCTCTCTCACCGATCAAGGCGGCGACGTGTCCCCCGCTGCTCTTAAGTCTCCGGCTCAAAACCTGCAGCGTCTCACCGTGATGACCCGCATCCGTGGAGTCGCCGATTAGCACAAACGTCCCCCGCCTGCTCGCGTCCCCGCACAGAAACGTCTCCACTCTGTTTCTCAGATCTAAGCACCGTATCGTGGACAGGAGGTCCACTTTACCAGCAGCCAGTCGTCGCAGCATGATACTGGGTATGGTCAGCGGCACCGAGCCCCTTATGTGAGCGTCGGAGAAGTCGGAGTGTGCCCTACAGTCCAGAATGAGAAGCTTGCTGGGACCGTCCTGCGATCTCAGCTCGCCGAACAGCCACTCCGGGCCCAGGAGGTCCTCCTCCATCGCGCTGTCGGGCATCTCGGGGGGATCTTCCAGCGGCACTATTTACGCTCGGCAACACTCGGCGTCGTCGGCGTCGTCGTCGTCGTCGTCGTCACACGCGCGGCCAACAGCCCAGCGAATCCCGATGTCCCGTTCGGTCACTGTGTCTCTCCCGCGAACCAACCGCGGCGTTCGAGTGCCGTCATCGTCGGACGCGGCGCCTGCGATAAACAACAAACTGCGGCACCGTCGTCGTCTCGCTGGTGGTCGTCGTCTCACTCGGGTGCCGGGCCAGCGCGTACGGAGTCTCGCGTCCGTCGCCCGTCGGAGCCGAGAGGGAGAGAGAGAGAGAGACAGATAGAGCGCGAGCGCGCGCGAGCCTCGTCCCGTCAGCCCCGTCGCACGTTTACTCCACAATGGAAGCGAATGAACGGAGAGCGTGCGGGAGCGCGCGCGCGCGCGCGCGCGGGCGCGCGTGCGTCCGTAGTGGGCTGCGTGCACGCGCGTCTCCCCCGCGCGATTAATATTTACTCGGACGCGGCGCGACGCGAAATGGCACTACGGGGAGAGCCGCGCGCTCGCCGGACGGCGCATCCGGAGGACGGAGTCGCGCTCGGACACGCTCACCAACCGCTCGACGGCGCGACCCGACGGGTTCTCACGCGTTTGCCATCGCACTTCCTGCGAGATACTACGCCGCGCCGCGTATGTTACGCCGCCCTCTCCTCTCGCTTCGCCGCCGCCGTCGCCGTCGCCGCACAATCGTCGCCGCCGGCGCGTCCCGGTTATCGATCTCCTCGTGAATCAAGACGGCGCGCGGCCAATTAACGGCACGGCTGTAAAATGTTTACGCGCGCCGCGCGGCAGATGCACGCCCGAGACCCGAGAGCGACCGCCGCGCGCTCACTCTATCCTCCGCGCGCCCGCCGACCCGCGGCGCTCGCGCGAACCCGCTCCGCGCCCCCCCCCCCGGCCGCCACCGCCGCGGCCCGCGATCGTTGCATCCTCGTCGTCCGTTCGCGCGCGCGCGAGCGCCGCGACCGCCTCCCCCTCCCCCTCGGCAGAGCGTAGGCCCGCCGCCACGCACACGCTGGACCGCGTACGCGCGCTCCCGTCCGTACCCGCCGCGCGTTTCCGTATCCCGTCCGAGATCGGTTTCCTTCCTCTCCCGGCTACCCCCCCCCCTCTCACCTAGCGAATCCCTCCAACATCGCCGTCCCCACCGCGGGATCTGGAATTCCTCGCCGAAAGGGTCGGCCGATCTTCTCGGTCGAGAGGAGCTTCTCAACGGCCTCGAGTATGTCACAAAACGCTCTTGCGCGCCTCCCTTCTTCCGCTCACTTTTCTCTCTCTCTCTCTTTCTTTCGTGTCGCCCGCACGAGTGTTTTCTCGGTTTCTTTTATTGTTCTCACGGCTACGAGTGCACCGTCGCGCTCACCCGTCGCAGGCCACACCTTACGAACGTCCGTTCGCGTCGAAGAATGGAACGACGGCGCTCGGTACGTCGCGCGCAGGGGTGAGACGCGGCCGCCGTGCGCGCCGATTCGCCGGCGGTCACGTGGGCCCGCGCGGCCGGCCAATCGGCGCGCGGGCTGACGTCAGTTCATTGACAAAAGATGTTTCCATTAACGAGGCGTGGGTAGAGGCTGGGTCGGGGGTCGGTGCTGACTGAAGCCGTCGTTGAAGCGGTACGGAGTGGCTTCGCGCGCAGCGGCGCGACGAAGGGGAGAATGGCGGCGGAATGGGCCACCGCACGTTACACGCTCTCTCTTTCTCTCTCTCTCCCACTCACGCGTGCGTGGGCGCGTGTTATCGCAACCCGTGCGCTAGAAGCGGAGTGAGAGGAGGAGCGAGCGAGAAGGAGCGAGCGAGTGTGCGTGGGAGACGAGAGAGGGGGGGGAGGGGGGGGGGGGGGGGGGGGGGCGGGGACCCGCCCGTTTGACCCGCCCGCACCCCGGCGGGCCCCGGCCGCTCCCGCGGCGGGGCCCGCGCGGCCGCGGGCCGCCCGCCCTCTGCGTCTCCTTCCCCCCCCCCCCCCCCCGTCCCACCGCGACCCCCGCGTAGCTCAGGTTAGTTCCTTCTCGGTCGTACCCGTCTCTCTCGACGATCGAATCAATATCGCCACTTTCCTCCCGTTATCTATTTACCGCGTATGCACGTATGTCCTATGTAATGAACTCTTCCGTCACGCTCATTGTTGCCGAACCGTGTCCGACCTGCCGTCGGCGATCAGCAGCGTCCAATTGTCGCGGCACATCCGGGGGCGCGCGAATACCGTCCCCGGGATGCGCCGGGGTTACGCGACGACGGGCGTTTGTCGGCGGCTATTTGTAAAGCGGCATAATTTTGATCGCGCGCCGCGTCCGCCGCCGATCGATAAGTCACGATATCGCGTGGCTATACGCGCGCCGCCGTTAGCGTGTACGGCGTGGCGCCCGCTCCGCGGTGCACCTAAATCCGTGCAGCGCGGCCTAGCACCGAGCGCGTTAACGATTTTGCCAGATATACGCGACCAAACAATGACCCCTCCGTCTCGCGGGATCAATCCCGACTTCGCGGAGGCGCACGATAGCGCTTCTAACGCGCGCCCGTGCCTCGCCGTTGCGTATGGGCGCCGTTAAAGGCGCCGGAATTACACCAAACAGCTCTCGCTCCGGGGCTGATAAATTCACGATGGGACCGACAGACGATGCCTATTAATTTGGTGGAAACCCCGCTGTCTCGTATTAGGAGCCTGTCTCGATTATGTCGAGATTACACAAGAATGTGAGTCCGGAATGTAGGGAAGAAAGGAAAGCGATTTCTCGCTTAGATTAGAAAGAAATTCCTCCAAGTGGACACAATGGTCCTCCTCTCGCTCGAAAACTTAAGTGCACTGAGAAAAATGTCCGATTAAATATAATCGGATAATCCAATTACATAATAACAAACGGATATATCCGATTAAATTGTATATCCGATGAGAAATGTGATCGGTTTTTCAAAGTTCATCGGTAACTGCATTTCATCGGATAAATTTCATCGGATGTATCCATAATTTAATCGGAAAAATTAACCATCGGAAACACTGTTTAATTGGTTTATCCGATGAAAATTTTTCTCAGTGTGATATCGTGGGTTTATGACATAAATTTTATGTGCACACACTGAGAAATATTTCCATCGGATAAACCAATTGAATAGTGTTTCCGATTGTTAATTCTTCCGATTGAATTGCGTATCCGACGAAATGCAGTTGGCCATGGAATTTGATCGGAAAACCGATCACATTTTTCATCGGATATATCCGTTTGTTATTATGCAATTGGATTATCCGATTATATTTAATCGCACATTTGTCTCAGTGCAGGAATAAAATTAAGTACGAAAAAGGGTGCGTTGAAAGATTGGAAGGTGAAAGATGTAAGTGCTGGGAAAAATAGGATTCTTTATTTAAGATAAAAATGTCGATTTGCAGTGTCACTCGAAAAGGACCCAAAAGAATAGGGTCGAAACGTTGTGTAATAAATAAATTAATTAACCAGCCAGTTGGGTTGACCATAAGTTTTCCGTCTCAATATTTAAGATAGAAATATATTAACATCAGTAAATGTTCATATTGTCGAGTGACGCTTGATAACACAAACGATCTAGACTGCAACGTATTGAATCATCAATTGAGATGCATTACAAATACAATATGTTATCGTCTGTCATCGTTGGTAGAGCGTGACATCGCAAATTGTCAATGGGGGCGAAAACTCGTAAGAACAACAGTCTCGGTTCTCGAGTTTTTCCGCCATCAGTTACGCGCGAGATGTGTAGGCGTCGCTTGGTACGAGCGCGAGAACCGAAGTCGATTGTTTTGAAAAACCACCCGTACTACGCGAACATGAATGACTATAATCGATATAGGGAGAAAGGAATTCGAAGCGCGGTTTAGAAGCGCGAACGCACAAGAGGATCTTAGTCTCCAGGCAGGTTTAGACTTGGAGAAACTTCGGACTCGCACGATCAGCGAGACGCTGAGTGTCGAGACCTGCAGAATTGCCGCGGACAGGTGGGTGTCCAATTTAAAGTTCGACTTCAACTTTCGACGCGAGTTCGCCCACGCCGCGGCGCACTTGGCGCAGCGTAACACGTCGCGCTCGGGAAACGCGAGCTGCGAAGGGGTTCGAGACGAATAACGCGCGGCGGTAGGACAGCAAAACGTGCCATCGAGTGATACGGCCTTGGCCCTTACCGTTTACACGGAGCCCCGTCCTCGGCCTCGCCCGTTGATCGCGCTCGGCTCGGCTCGGCTCGGCTCGTTTGTTCTCTTTCACCCTGTGCAGGAGGGGACGGCAGCCTATCAGACGACTGTGCCAGGCGTAGGTCGGCATTCCATTCATTTGGGCGGCTGTCGTTGAAGATTTTCGCGTTCGATCACACGGCCGTCGCCGCCGCCCGCCACCACCGCCGCCACCGCCGCCTCATCGCGCTCCAGCGCGCGCGCGCGCGCGCGCTGTACCCCGCGAGGGTGAAGGACGGGTTGAGGGTGGGAAATAGGACAGAGAGCGAGGGTGATACAGGACAAGCTGGAGCAGGGCAACGGCGCGGGGAGCGTGGCGGGAGGGGGAGGAGTAGAGAAAGGGCCGCGGGCGTCTGTGACCTTCCGCGGGCATCCGGACGCGTGCCGACGAATTAGATTCGATCCGCGTGGGTGCCGGGTAAGGTGAGCACACCCGACCGTCCTTCCACACGTGCGCGCGCGCGCGCACACATACACACGCACACCCCTTTCACGCTGACGCTCGATAACGCTCGGATGGCTGGCGGAGGCTTTAACATTAAAGCAGAAGACGGAGGCTGTGCCCGTGTTGTAGCCGAGAGAGCTCGGAATCCGTCGATTTGCCCGATATCGATTTACGGGGCGATCGGCACGCCGGAGGCATGTGCTCATCGGGGTCTTCGCGGCCGCGAAGAGGCGGACGACGGGGGACGGAAACGCGAGACGTGCGATTTTTTACTCTTCCGAGAGAGAGGAGAGAAGAATAAATTCTCGATATATAATTGATCCGCATAAATTGTTTCTGTCACGCCGGCGATTTGCGGCCAAACGTGACTGACGTAATGTGCAAAATGCGACGTCCGGTTAAAATGTGAGCACATTTCGTATTTCTGCCCGCTCTTTTATAATGCAAACCCCGGTAATTTTCCTTTTAAAGAGGCGCGCGAGAGCGAGCAGGAAACATTAATTCCGCCTTTTTTTGCATTCCGCTTTTCAATTTTAGTCTCGTAGAACTGTGCTTTGGAGGGGGGGGGGGGAGGGAGAGAATCCTACATGACACACGGCGCACTTCGAAACTCCACTATCACGCAGGCAGCCATAAGCAGAATTTATGTCTGGACGTAAATCTAGCTCGGTGAAAATGTCAAATATCGGGAAACGTGGACGGTGTGCAAACTGCATGCCCGGGTACGCGGGGCTCTCGCGCGTCTAAATGATGTTTTCCCGTAATAATGTTCGGGGCGTTTTGATGCATCACAATGAAACGCGTGGGAGCAGCGCGGGGACCCTAGATGGAAATAACAGTGCAACATGGCTAATTGTGAGCCACATAGACGATTATTGTCCTTCGTTCGCCGCACTCTCTCTCTCTCTCATTTCCTACGCCAGCGCTGTTGCGAAACTGGCAATTAAAAATTAACGGAAGAGATCGGACGTGGGCGGGTCGCCTCTATTGGTGGATACGCGGCGAAAGGTCTTGCACGATGAATTAGTGACGAATCTCATTGGAGAGTGGCGATGCAAAATTCACGACAGCCCGCTCGGGCGTCGCTAAGGATGATTCCGGGAAATTATGTTATTTGATTACAACAATGTCATTTATATATTCCCCGTTACAGATTTGCAGCTCGTGAATGCGCGGCGCGTTCTAAGAACGCGGAGGAGTCGCTGGTGGGACGGCGAGATCCGCCGCTTTGCCATCGGATTGTTTTCGCATTAATATTTTCCATTAAAACGAACCGAAGATGGAATTTTATTAAATATTGCAGCGACGTCACACGGGGAAACGCCTACGCGCATTATCCCCGCGGTGCGAGTTATCAGAAAAACAGTAGCCTCAGAGCGGCAGTATTTTTAGCGCATTTTCACGCATTGATTTTTTTTGTAATCGAGCATAAAGAAGCGTGTCTTCTCACGGACAAGGGTTATGCGAAAAGATTAGATGCCGGGATAACGGAGCAAAAAAGATGGTGTCGTAAAAGTTGCGAACGCAGCCTGCTCCGTTCTCTATTCATGAATATGGACATAATTGACACGCAATTCGACTGATCTCTTTAGCAAGGTCGTACCTCGATTTCACTACTTCTGGTCCAGATGAAAGCCGCGAGCACGCACTTTTGCACAAGTGCATAAGCATATGCGCAAGGAATCCACACCCGAGTCGAAATTTTGGTACTATTGTGACACTTTTAAGGATAATTTACACCCACTTAGCTGATCTATACGCCTACATAGACCAGCAATAACCTATTTTGATGACACTATATTTTTTTACTTCTCCCTTTAATTCTAAAAATTTACTTTAGCTCCTACTTAAAACGTCCTACTTTAATGCTAAATTGGCAAAAGTAAAATTTTCCGACACTATCTGTTTTAAAGTAGGAGTAAATTTTGTACTTGCAGTTCAATCTCTTTTACTGCCTCAGGTCCTACAATAGAATAGAATTAAAAGTTCAACATAGGACCAAAATTTTGACTCGGGTGATTGGTCCATTTCTCTTCTTATGCATTTGCTTACGGTTCAATTAATTTCTTCACACATTTTCTTATGCAATTGTGCAAACGTGTACTCCCAGCTTGAGCGTTTAAGCAGAAAAAATCGAAAATCCCTTTCCCCTTCTAAAAAAAAAGAGATGTTACCAGCGCGAATATCGTTAATATCGAACAGTTGAGGCCTCTTTTCCGCGATGTTAATTGGTTTTCTCGAAGCGCGGTGTGCTTCACTTCTCTTTTAGATTCATTGTGAATGAAGATTTGCAATTTAGAAATATACATTTGTGTACACTAACTATTGAGGTAAAATCACTAATCTTGGAAATAAGAATTTAAGTAACAACGATTTTTGTTTCGAAATATTTTCTCGATTAAACAGAATTAATCGTTAATTTAATCAATACCAATAAGTCCGCGGAATAATACGCAAAACGTAGCAACAGTCACGGAACAAAGTAATGTACAATAAAATATTAAGTACGGAATTTTCCATTGCGTAGGCAGGCCAACAAATTCTCAACGTTTCTTTGTTGTTTTTCACTCGGCGCGGTATCGTACGACGATTAAGCGGGCCAACGAATTCCCAATGTTTTTTTGTTGTTTTTCACTCGACGCGGTATCGTACGACGTTACGCGGGCCAAAGTTTACCTGAAGGTCGCCGCTCTCTCTCTCACTCGCTCGCCGAACGTCGTGCCGGCAAGCAGTGGCGAGAGTCGCTCCGTGAGTGTTATTACTTTTCCGTTATCGGCTTCCAAGACTCGATCGCGATAAATGCAGGGATAAAACACTATTGATTTGCACACCTTCATTAGTAACAAGTATAAACGTTCCTTGATTTATTACTAAGTTTCTACAACTTGTAACGAGAAACGAATTGCATGTTGAGGCGACGGCTCTTTATCAACGTATACATATTTCACAAGACTAACTCGTCTAAAATTTTTATGTAAACCGTGGTACTTTGTCGCGGTTACATCTCGTTTACGCACCGCGCTTTTAATTATCTATCGATTTCGTGTAATTTGTTAAATTTTCGGGAAAAGAGAGAGATTTGTACGACTTCGGCGTTCGCGCTGTAATTCGTTCTGTCATTCTTCGCAACTCGAATGGGCAGGAAGTACAGAAAATCGTTTATTGCACGTCGTTACATTATGTAAATGATCTCGATTAACTGTTGCGATTATTGAATGACAAAGATTGTAAAATATCGTTTCGTTACCGACTAATAACTACTTTACCGCAGATTATGCCTCCGGTGCCCGCGTTGCGTTTTATATCGCCAATTCAAAAGTGTTTTATCCATTATCCTATTCTTCCGAATCAAAAATGCAAATTGTTAGTTTCAGTAATTTGTATATGACAAAAAGTCACGCGATATTTGTTAATACTATTTCGTGCGTTTCGCGGTATTTCACATCGCGTACGGGAGTGTCCGAAATTTCGTGCGATCGATGATTTTTGCGAGCGAGTGTTGTGTGAGTGCCACAAGGAAATCTGAGAGGAGGAGGAGGAGGCCCACAGGAGGCATCGGGCAACAGCGGAGAAATCGGTGAGGTGAGTGTCTTACATTTTTATGTTATTTGCTACTTGTACAAAATAAAGCATCTGTTCTATGTTTTTATTTTATTTGTTCAAATGATTCGGACGAAGATTCGAATAAGTGTTAGAGACAAAACCATACGTATAAAATTTTGTGAGTTTATATTTAAAAGAAAGACTTTATCAGTATTCTATATATAATTTTTATAAATACCTATTTTTCGAAATATAAAATATGAAGTATATTTAGTACAATAATTTTGATTTTACACAATTCGCTTATAATAATCATATACATATTTGTATGTTTGCAGTTTAACATATATAATTGATGTACTCTGCTGTTGCGAATCGTATCAGTGAGTAATAAATTACTTTTTATTTTAAATTGACGTTGCGCATACAATTACTTCTTTTCGTGTATAGAAATTCTTAAAAATATACAATGCTCAACTACAAACTGCGCGCGCGAAGCGCGCGTTTTGACATCTCTAGTTGTTTAAAATAGAGATACTGCCAGAGAGATCGGTCGAATTGTAACGTCTACAGCTATGTGTTATCGCGAGGAATTTGGGGCGAGACATGAAGGCATTTTTCGATAACTACGTGCACTCGTGACGTGCACGTCAGTTATAACGATGCCGCTATAGTGATACGACATAGTGGCGCCATACCTCAATCGTGACCTTTCCGAAAATAAAGTACTCTCATTCGCTATCACCTGCTATCCGGTGTCACACACAGGCCTGAGAATACCATTCTGCGCTGATGCAAATCCTGACGTGGGCGTAGCGGCGCGAGCGTTGCGCCGTGTGTACAGATTGCGTCTATTACGCAATTGTGACAGTTAGATCGAGGTGATTTTGTGCTGAGCCCAGACGATCTCCGCAAAGCCCCGTGATCCGCGCGTATTTTGTAAAAAAAAAAGAAAAAAAGAGTGTCATTTTCAGCTTCAAAAGGAGCGATTGCAATTTATTGCTCCGGAAAGGTAACTTACGCGAACGACAGCTAGAATCGGTCTCTTTGTGATGTCATTTCCGTTTTAAATGACATTTCACGGCTACTAATAGGTCATCGGGTATTTATAAATCCGGTTTTTTCGCAACGAAGGGCGTA